GTCCAAAAAAAAAAAAAAAAAAAAAAAAAAAAAACCTACGAATGAATGTAAAAAAACCATGGCTCATTACCGTTTTGATTTTCACGCCGACAACAACAGTGAAGCGGCACCAAAGACAACAGTGGTGGACACAGCCTCGATAATGGCACCCCCGGGCAAGGGTTGTCCCCGTTGCGGCGGGGTTGTCTTCGCCGCCGAGCAAGTACTGGCCAAGAGCCGCGAGTGGCACAGAAAGTGCTTCAAGTGTCACGATTGCAACAAAACCCTCGACTCGATAATCGCCTGCGACGGCCCCGACAAGGACATATACTGCAAGACCTGCTACGGCAAACGCTGGGGACCCCATGGCTATGGCTTCGCCTGCGGCTCTGGATTCCTACAGACCGACGGACTCACGTGAGTGTGCACGCATTTATAATAACATACACCCCACAACACGTGCTCTGGACGAATGAACGCGGCTCGAATGGTAATGCAACACTCCCATAGCGTCCTTTGTCCACGTATGCCACACAAACAAGGCTATATAATATACACTCTTGCCTGGCGATAAATATACATATTCGATGATTATATAATTTTTGAAAGCAGCGAGGACCAGATATCGGCGAGCCGTCCGTTCTACAACCCGGACACAACAGCGATCAAAGCACCAGCAGGTCAGGGCTGTCCACGTTGCGGTGGCATGGTCTTTATGGCCGAGCAACAGCTCGCCAAAGGCACGATGTGGCACAAGCAGTGCTTCAACTGCGCCGAGTGCCACAGGCCCCTCGACTCGATGCTGGCCTGCGACGGCCCCGACAAGGAGATACACTGTCGCGCTTGCTACGGCAAACTCTTCGGGCCCAAGGGTTTCGGCTTCGGGCACACCCCCACTCTCATCTCCACCGACGTGGAACACGCGTCCTCGTAGTGAGTCCCTATTACTTTTTCTTCATTGGGATTGGCTGGATCTGGTTACCGTGAGGTGCATCGTCACATAAAAATAGTTGGGTGGAATGAAACCCCCTGTGGTGATCCTTGTGGGACTGCCAATCCCATTGAGAAGCGAGGAGACCTTTGGAGTCTCGGTATATTGTAGAAAATAAAATTAAAAAACAAAAAATCCTCTTTTCTTTTTTCTTTTTTTTTTCAAGTTCCGACTCAAAGCCGGACGTGGGACAAAAGTGCGAGGAGGGCCAGGGCTGCGCCCGTTGCGGCTACCCGGTCTACATGGCCGAGCAAATGATCTCGAAGAACCGGATCTGGCACCGGAGGTGCTTCAGTTGCGGCAACTGCCATCGCTCCCTCGACTCGACGAACCTCAACGACGGCCCGGACGGCGACATCTACTGCCGCGGTTGTTACGGCCGTAATTTCGGCCCAAGGGGCGTGGGCTTCGGCATGGGGGCGGGCACCCTCACGATGGCCTAATCAACAACGGCGCGAGAGCGCGCGCGTCCCTTTTGTTCTTTGTGTTTTTCATCATTTGCTCTATAATATATATATATA